ACATGAGCTTCCTTGTATTAAATATCTTTCCCCACAAATTTCCAGTTACTTCTTTATTTCAGCAAGACTACTGCCCTCACTTGAGCTCCATCTCTGTGTGAATCAGAAAACTCTGCAAAGCAAAGAGGTAGGGGACTGAGGATCTAAAAGTGTGCATTTCACTTCTCTCTAGTATCACTTCCCTGAAATTTAAAATGCCTGAAATCAGTTGCCTCCTATTATCTCACTTTTTATAGCACTTGATGGCCACACTGGTGTCAGTTACTCTCTATTGGCAGAGGTGAGTTCTCAGGTATTTTTTACAGCTGCATTGTATAAACGGTGATAAAATATACATAACATAACAAAATTAACCACCAAAATTTACAGATGATTATGTATAGTGGAAAAGACACCTTCAAACAGACCCTTTCCAAGCAGGTTAAAAAGGACCATATCAGGTACCCTTAAATAATCTGGGTGTGGACAAATGTAATCGTGTTGACATTTAAATTCATGTTTTCCATTTAAAGAAAGCTCATTCATCTAACTGGATTGCTCAACAACAAGGATTTGAAAGTTTAAATTATGAGGGAGTAAAATATGACAGCTGTTATGGATACCTAACCCAACACTCAGACCAGGCGTGTAAAATCAAGACCCTTTTTTCTTGTTTCCTTACTTTAGTTCCTTCCTATCTCACAAATAACGTGAGAGTCAATCACTCACTATAATATTATTGTTTCCTTTCCCCCTTAATTTCTGCCTGGAAATATAACTCAATGTGCGGCGGCGTCTTCAAACCAACTTGACAGGTAACAATGTGGAACTGGTTACACACATAGTCAATGACCAGAAATTTTATATTATTTGGAAGATTACTTTTTTGGGGGGGGAGATATTGCAATAAATAAATACATGATTCGGACCTTGTCAAAAACTTTACAGGAATTGCTGGCACTACAACCAAAGTAGTAGCTAACAAAAAAAAATCTATAAATTCCTTTGTGTGACTTACATTAGACAACAGAATGGCTCTTGACCATTGTGGTTGAAAAAGGGGCTGCATGTTAAACCTGACAATCTCAGGAGACTGAAAATATTCACATAGAATGGCGTGAACATAAAACTTCCTAACTAAGGTGGGCCATGGCAGAAAGTCACATCTTTAGTCTCTACCTTCCTTGACAAAGGTCAATCTTAACCTTAAGTGAGCCTGTCTTTTTTTTTTTTTTTTTGCATCTAAGATAACAAGCCCTTGGAATGTCAGAAAATCCCTTTTCTTTTCAAGACCAGCGCAGGAAACTACAGAATCACACATTGTTATTCTTCTGATGATTACCATCTCTATGTTATGTAAAAAGTGAAGTATTAACTACCATATATCCACCTATGTACAAGAAGTACCTGTCTCTCCAATTTACTTTTATCAACCCCAGAGATTTCCCCGCTTTGCTTTCTCCCACCCCCTTAATCTACCACCAATGGATTTCATGTAACACTTCTCCTTCGATTCTACGTACAAAATAAGCCACAAGCCATCAATTTGGGGAGCATTTTCTCAATCAGTTGAGATTTCTCTTCCCAGCAATTGTCATCAGTTTGGCTCCAATAAACTTTTCTAGGCTTCCCCTTAGGCTGGACTTTTTCATCAACATCATCTGGCTAAACAAGGTAGGATTTGCTCTACTTAATACCTCCTGTTATACTTGGATAAAGCACCTCTAATGAAATAGAGATGGAACTAGAGAAAATATGGGCACAAGTCAAAAGATTAAATACAGTGCCCACTGACACCTCATAGTTCTTTAACATCTTCACTTGACTGCCCTCAAGTATTGCCTCCTGGTTCAGGTCTATTCTTCAAATTAGAATTATCATTTTGCTTGTTATTATATGATTTTTTTGCTCTCCTAAAACTGTTTTCCATAGCTCAATATTATAGACACCACTCTGACAATGGGTGCTCAATATTGTGAGATAATCACTAAGGCCTCTGAGACTTCATAAGAAAAACCCCAAGAAACTACAGATGATGTCTGCCCTTAAAAAAACATAATGGTAAAGACTTCCTGTGTTCTGGTGAAATTGCTCAAGTGTGGCCTAAGGTTCCTAAGAAAAAGTAAAAACGGGCCGGCCGAGTGGCGCGATGATTAAGAACTGGCTTGGGACGCCAGAGGGCCCCGGTTCGGATCCCACATATGAGGGCCAGTGACACTGCCCTCCACAGCTAAGATGCTGAACAACAGCTCAACCTGGAGCTGGGCTGCCCTGAGTTGCCGGTGACAGCGTAGGCTGCAGCCCCTGTAGCAGTGGGTTGCCATGGGCTACCGTATGTAGCCAGCAGCCAGCGGCCGTCCAGAAGCTGGTGACTCATCTGCCTTGCCCGGGAGGAGTGCAATGATGGTGCCAACTTGGGCCGGTGAAGCAACGCCCTCCATAAGTAGACTGAAGAACAAAAAACGACAGCAACTTGTCTGTTCCCCTTCCCCCAATTCCCCAGCGCTGTTCCCATCCCCCCAATTCCCCAATAAAAATCTTAAAAAAAAAAAAAAAGTAAAAACGCTTTCCCTTCTATGTGGGACAGATTATACTAGGAATGATCATCCTGGCGACCAGACACCAACGATGCTTTAAATAAATGATCAGTGCTGCTTTCCGATGATTGAGTGATGCTTTCAAGGAAAGACCTCAATCAAAGGGGATATTTATAAAAGGTAACATTGGCCGGCCAAGTGGCTCAGTTGGCTAAGAGCTCGCTCAAGAGTGTGAGCTCTGAGCAACAGGTTCTGCTGGTTCGATTCCCAGCCCAAGCTGAGCTGCCAACAGGTGGCAGGATGGCTCAGCTAAAACAAAAACAAAAACCTAACATAAACCGGGTCACTTTAAAACGGAGTGGAACTGCCATCCCAGAAGAAGTAGCTTGCACATCTTACACCTCAAACCTTTGGAACATTAAAACTGAGCAAAAGAACCTTTGAATTGGGCCTACAGCAGCATTTCACCATAACAACAAAGCTGACATTATGACTACTGGGTTGAAATTTTTAACCATTCTTTACAATTAGCATCACTATGGGCCTAAAATTAAAAACATACTTTATAATTAGCATCACAATGTTGGCTTGTCTGCACACACAGAAATTTCCTCCTTCTATTCATGAAAGTGTTCCCCTCCCCTTTCTCATCAATACCCTTTGGCCTGCCTCTAATTGAAACCCTATCATGTTTCTGCCTGAATCAGCGCTTCAGAAATAACTATTCACTTGGATATCAAATAAATGGTCCTTGCCTCTCACTTTGGTTTTTTACTTTTAGGTAAATAATTTACAAATGGATTTTGTAAACAATTCAAAGAATTATCCCAATAATACATCAATAAAAGCTCTAAGGCCCTGCATGTGTGTTTTTTTACTGGGAGGCACAAGGGGAGGGGAGAGCAGAAACGTTGGAATCAACCAGGCAATTTTCTTATTGCTCCTCTTTTCCCTTTATTTACATAATACATAGAAAAATGTGTGTGTCAAAGCAGCAAGTTTCTGAATTTCTGAGCCAAGGGACAGGGTGGAATTTCACATCCTTTTTCAGTCATTAAAACTGATGAAAATTGCTCAGTTTCCTAGGGGCTTTCAG